TGGCACAGGAGGAAACTGAATAAAATTAGAAATCCAACTAACTTGAGAGCAAAATGGTTATTTCATCCACCTGTTTGGCACCGTTACCCGCGAATGCAGACGGAATGCCGTGGACGATAAAAAAGTTCCGGCCAATGGCACCTGTGAGCGCTCGTCCTAGTGGTATATAGGCAACGACTATTTTTTATAATGGCATACAGGGTAAAAGACTCTTTCCTTTTGTTGGGCATGGATATATAAATTAATGAAATGATCAGTTGATTCTTGGAAAAAACTTGCAGAAAATAAATTATCTCCTTCTAATTGATTTTTGGTACTAGTAGTTCGGGTGGATTGCAACACTACAAAATCAAGTGGCTCCCTGGCCGCCCAGCCATCGCAGATCTCGCCAAGATCTCAGTGGCAGCGACGCTATGTCCTCGACCACATCGCAGGTGACGCCCGGCAGCTGGGGCTTGGCGGTGAGTCGTCAGAGCCACACCTCGCCCTGCCCCCGGGTTGAGCGGTCTGGAACCCGACGCAAACCAGCCCGGCTGTGCCCTCCAAATACGGCTGGGGCTGGCCAGCCCTCTCACAAAACACTGTTTATCTGAATTAGCCAGCAGTACTTCTTTCTCGCATAAACGAATCAGTAACGATACGAACTAGCCAACCGAACATGCTAATGGTTTGATGTGGGCTGGTTTACGGGTTGGTCCGGGTTGCAACCGGACCATGTACAGGGCTACCTCGAATCTCAAAACTTGCATTTTTCCTCACCAGTTTCCCGGTAGCAAAATAAATAACTAAAAGAGCGCCATACACGACATGTCGGCAGGCAGTGTCAGCCGTTAGCCCGTTACGTACTGTACGTGCAACACGACAACGCGCGCAGAAGCAAAACGTGGCCGGCCTAGCTTTTCCCGTGGCAGCAGGTGACTTTATTTTGACTAATCAGGCACGAAGGAGGTGTTCCCCACGCATACATCAACGATTGACACTGCAGACTTTTCCCATGACGAAGCAGCGTGGCTGATATCTACATGCATGTGCAGCTGCAGCTAGCACGATTGGGCACCGGCACGGCACTAAGCACCGTTGGGCACGGCACGGCACTAGCACCAATTGGGCACCGCACGGCGAGGCACGGCACTATGCAGCACGATGGCGTAGCCGCGCCGTGCCGGATAGTGCCGCCGTGCCGACCTTGCGGCCCAGGCACGGCACTACGGAGGCGGAGCCGTGCCGTGCCATGCCGATGGGCATGACGACCTGCCAAGCCTGTGCCAGCCCGTCGCCATGGCCACGCGCCGTCGAGCCAAAGCCGTGTCTCCGCCTAGACGCGCAGCTACCACACGAACGCGCCTCGCTGCCCCTGGATGAGCGCCTCCGCCGCGTGGACGCACCACCACCGAGGAGACGCGCCGCCGGCCGCGCGCGCGCCTGCGACGCCACCGACGTGCGCGGATGCGCCCCCACCGCCGATGCTACAGGGACGCGCCCCGACCTCAGACAGCCGCCGCGAAGACGTGCCCCCGGCCTCGCGCCACCGCCTCATGAGCGCGGTTGAGCCGCCATAGCCACGGTCAGATGCGCCGCACGCCATCAGGAAAGAGAGGAGAGACGAGAGAGCAAGAAGATAGGGTTTGCAAGTGAATGGTGCTTGCTTATATATTTGTGTTTTCCATCCAACGGTTCAGATTCATCACGTGTTCATCGAATGGTCCAAATAAATCGGGCCGCATAGTGCCACGTGCCTGGACCGGCACTACGGGCCGACATGGCAGCCCAGGCATGGCACTACGACCGGGCCGTGCCAGGCACAGGCATGGCGGGAGCCAGGCCGGGCCAAGCCTGGGCCGTGCTTCTTCGTGCCGTGCCAAGTGGCGGCCCAGAGTGCACGTGCCATATCCCCACCGGGGTTTTCCCCCATATTTAACAGGTGCAGCCTCTCTCGCGTGGTGCTACAAAGGGATAATGGCGCGCCCGTCGCCTACGGAGTCTTGGATGGTTTCGGTGATCTCCTTAAGGACGCGATCTTGAAATCTAGGTGTAGTTGTAGGGTCTGTTTGTGTACATGAGATGTGAGTAAGGTGTGTGTGAGTGTGTGTGGTGTTAGTGTATGTCTGTTCATGAACAGATACTATAGTTGTGCCTATATGAGAGGAGCAAAAAAAAAAACTTATAGAGTAATATATGTAAGCTTGGTCCACATGAGAAAGTAAGGGAATAAAAAGACAAGTTCTACAAGACAAAGAAATCTTGAAGACGGTGCTTCTATCCACAAAAACTCTTCTCTTCAATTAGTTATGTCATTTTATTACTGAGTTGTTTTCTCAAGTCTAGGCCTGTAGACATCTCATCCAGAAAAAGAATAACTTCCTGTAGCTGTCATTCAATTGTTAAATCCTGGACTCGAAGACAAAACTAGCCAAGAAAAGACATGAAATAAGTAAAATGAGTCCATAAGAAAACCATACCTTGCATTTACTGGTGCCATAAGAGTAACTATGAGTTAATTTCTCAAGTCCAGGTACATATGCTTAGATTCCACACATTGCTAGCTTAGGCAACCATAACACGGTATGGACTTTGATCCATATTTCTACGTTTCTAATTTCAATATACATTTTTCTACAAGGTCACTGAGTTGTGATATCAAAATAAAATCTATTTCCTAAAAAAATATTAGCTTCATATATAAAAATAGGATTACCAAGCAGATGGTGTCAATTAGTGAAAGCCAAGAACTTGTGCAACTATTTAAATACACAATTGACTGATATCAATAAGACTACTTCTTGTAGTCACAAAAAATTAACTTTTGGGCGTGGGCGTGGGCGTGGGCGTGGCCCCAAGTACTACTTCATTTGACTACAACATATATCGTTGTATTACAATGAAACATCCAGAGTAATTAACTAAAGCATAGAAAATTTGTTTGCGACATAACGTAGCCTTAAATGATCATGCGTATAGGAAATGTTTCGTAGGATCCAAATGGAGATATAAATGCACGGACCACTGTTTATGACGCTGACTCCTCAAAAAAAAAAAAGGCAAAAATGTTTTTGTCAAAGGCTCCATCTTACTTCTTTGGACGGTACTCCTCCGACCTGTTACTGTAGCTTTGCTTTGGCTAAAGGTAATATGACTTGAGCTAAACCATCCAAAGATAGCTTATCAATGAAGGATTTCCCTAACAGAACAGAGCATCTGTTTTTTTCTTGCATCTTGATCATCGATTGTTTTAGAAAAAGTGCTCTAGGTAAAAATCTTCACTTTATTCTGGAGACTTTTCCCTGTGTGCCATTATAAAAGATCGTAATCCCCTCTGTGCCCCTGGAAAAATTCAGCGGTCTTCAGCGCCACTACTTCAACTTTTTCGGGTCCTCTATGCCACTTCTGTCAGTTCAGGCTCTAACGCCGTCAAACTCCAGGTGTGAAAAGACGAAAATGCCCTTAAGTTCAAATATGTTATTAATTTTTTTGAGCATCTTAATGACTTCAAATGAAAAAACTCAAAACTAGAAAGTTGTAGATCTCGTCGAGATCTATAATTTTCATATAAAAATTATTTTCATTTAATTCCGCAAAAAAATATGATTTGATATGATTAATATATCTTAGAAAAATCATCATATTTTTTTTGCGGAATTAAATGAAAATAATTTTTATATGAAAATTATAGATCTCGACGAAATCTACAACTTTCTAGTTTTGAGTTTTTTCATTTGAAGTCGTTAAGATGCTCAAAAAAAATTAATAACATATTTGAACTTAAGGGCATTTTCGTCTTTTTACACCTGCAATTTGACGGCGTTAGAGCCTGAACTGACGGAAGTGGCATGGAGGACCCGAAAAAGTTGGAGTAGTGGCGCTGAAGACCGCTGAATTTTTCCAGGGGCACACAGAGGATTACGATCTTTTATAATGGCACACAGAGAAAAGTCTCTTTATTCTGATAAAGACCACATAAAGTTATGTGCCCAGGGAAGCAGGGGCGGATCCAAAGGGGGGGGCTGGGGGGGGGCTCCAGCCCCCTACAGCTGGTGCATCAATGAAAATATGGGAACAGTGAGGGAGAAGAAGAGGTGGAGAAAAGAAGAAAAATGGAGAGAGAGAGGAAGAAGAAGAGATCAGACTCCTCTTCAATCCTGTTCTGCATCCGCCACTGCAGGGAAGTATCTCTGAATGTCATGGCCAAGAAAGAGAAACTATGAACGACCAAAGAATTTTAGCCTTGTAATCAGACTCTTATCATCATATGCCTTACGGAAACTGGCCTATTCCCTCAATCATGAAAGTCCAATAATAGCTGCGAGTTGTCAAGTTCTTCTATATAATCGCCAACCAGCGCCGTGTTCAATTGACTCATGAAAAGTACTCCTGCTGTCACCCTTCAAATTATGTTCTGTTGCTCTGCCACCGTGTATGTGTCACATATTAGTTCGTTACATTAATAACAAGTATCATGCCTTTAAATACTGCAAATGATATATATGATTATTTCTATAGTTGGTCCAACTGTATGAAACTAGGAGACGTGTTGTTTTGCTATGAAACATACTTTTATGTAAAGATACATTCTATTGCAATGTTCAAATACTATAAGTAGCTTTAAAATGTTTTACAAGCTCTATCCCTTTAATTAAAAGCAGTAACACACGCAACTGGAAAAAAAATCTACGCGCAAAAACCAATCCGCTTCTGTTTATGGATAACTTGGTGCTCCCATTCTAACCACAATTGCGACCTTTGAACACATAAGACGCACGTGTCTGAACGGTACGAACACTCGAAGCTAGGCTACCTTACGTGTTCCAACTAACTTATCAATGTATTCAGAGTCAGCCTCATCGTCATGCATTGATCTCTCCCTATATATTGAACTCCATGCCGACCCTCTCATAAATGTCTTCAATCACTTGCATAACAGTTCTCTTCTCTAACAACCAAATCATATCTTCTTCCTCTTCATGAGCTAGTCTCTGTGTTGTTGGTCGTTGATGAAGAGAGCCATGGCCTGGCCTTGGTTACTGCCTTTCGGCCTCTTTTTCGTTGCCTCTGTTGCTCAAGCTGCTGTTGTGGAGCACACCTTCAATGTAATCCACATGCGCATATACAGTTTTTCTTTTCTACTTCATATCTCTTTCGTTGGTCGCCATGCATATATAGTATCTGTTTAATTACGATAGTTAGGCCCCGTTTGGCAGGGCTTCTCTAGCGGCTTCAGGAGCCGCTTGGAGCCGTTTTCTGCCAAACGGGATAAAATAAAACGGCTCTACCGATAAAGCCCCTAAAAACGTGCTCTCACAGAGCTCTGGGGTGGGAAGGAGCCAAAAATAGTGGCTTCTCTCGGCTTCACCTCATTCTACATGGCGTTATCTGAGAGCATATTTTAAGAAAAAATATATGTGAAGCTATTTTGCCAAACGATTTATCAAAACGGCTACAGCTCCACCCATAGAGCTGTTCATGGAGCTGAAACCCCAAAAAAGAGCTTCATGGGTGAAGTGGAGCCGTGCCAAACGGGGCCTTAGTTCTGTTATGCAAGCACCATGTATGTATATTTGATAGTTGCTCACATATGGTTTCATATATGCATGCATGCATAAATATATTGTTTCTAATGACGATGTTTATGCGTCGGTAGTATTTCTTGATTCTATTGGCGGCGCATCATGCACATGTCAAGTTTACTAGTGGACCACTCAATATTTTTTTTCACATTATTAATCACTCGTGTGTTTAATTATCGCCAGGTCGGGAACCTGTCTATAAGCCAGCTGTGCCAGCCGGCGAGGATCATCACGGCGGTGAATGGGCGGCTCCCCGGCCCGACCGTCGAGGCCCGGGAGGGCGACACGGTGGTTGTTCACCTCGTCAACGAGTCGCCCTACAACATGACCATCCACTGGTAGCTAGCTAGCTAATCGCTGTCAAAGCTACTAGTACTTTTTCGTGCATCAACTTGCGCATGCAAAGCTTTGTTTTTGAAGTCACTTCGCACTAGCTACCTAGCTGCATGAGCATGAAGTAACATCGTCTGTAGAAGGATAAAGTCTCGTGTAAACCAGTGCAACATCAAACCAAACATAGCAAAACCCTACAGTACATACCAAGATGCAGACGCCGCCACCTAACAGAAAGAGGTCTCCTCGTTGACGTTTCAGGTTCCGATCCGTGCAGTGAATAAAACACTTTAATAAGCTTTAGACGTGTCAAAATTACCTAGCTAGGTCGTAGCTTATTGCACATCCCCAAGGGTACTTTGCTTGCTAACATCATTACAGATACGCGCGCGACACACACACACACACACACACACACATATATATATATATATATATATATATATATATATATATAGCTGAAAGATAATGAAGTTAAAAAAAACTGTCTCCCAATGCAAAGCATGCCCATGGTGCAGTGAACGGTGGTTAATTTGTTCTTGTGACGACGAACCAACCTCGCAGGCATGGCGTGTTCCAGCGCGGCTCGCCGTGGGCGGACGGGCCGGCGATGGTGACGCAGTGCCCCGTCCAGCCGGGCGCCAACTACACGTATCGCTTCAACGTGACGGACCAGGAGGGCACGCTGTGGTGGCACGCCCACATCTCCTTCCTCCGCGCCACCGTCTACGGCGCGCTCGTCATCCGCCCCCGCGGCGGCGCCGGCGCCTACCCCTTCTCCCCCAAGCCCCACAGGGAGGATACCGTCATCCTCGGCGAGTGGTGGAACGCCAACGTCTACGATCTGCAGCAGCAGGTGTTCCTCACGGGGGACACGACGAGGATGCCGCCTGCCGACGCCTACACCATCAACGGCAAGCCGGGAGACTTGTACAACTGCTCCGCCGCTAACCGTATGTTAATGGCTAGATCACTGATGTTTAATTAAAGCTCATGCTAATTACTGATGTCTGAAGCTGATGTTTATTTGTGTATATACGCGCGTGCAGAGACTTACAAGTTCCCGGTGCGGAGCAACGAGACGTACCTGCTCCGGATCATCAACGCCGCGCTCAACACGCCCATGTTCTTCAAGGTGGCGAACCACACCTTCACCGTCGTCGGCGCGGACGCCGCCTACACCACGCCGTACGAGACCGACGTGGTGGTGATCGCGCCCGGGCAGACCGTGGACGCGCTCATGGTCGCGGGCGCCGCCGTCGGGCGCTACTACATGGCGGCATCCCCGTACGACAGCGCCATCCCGCAGGGGCCGCCATTCAGCATGACCAACGGCACGGCCATCGTCGAGTACGCTGGCTCGGCTGGGGAGGAGAAGCCGCAGCTGCCGCCGCGGACGGAGTACAACGACACGGACACGGCCTTCCGGTTCCTCTCCAACCTGACGGCGCTGGTGCTCCCCGGCAAACCGACGGTGCCGCTGTCCGTGGACACCCGCATGTTCGTCACCGTCGGGCTCGGCAACGGCGACTGCCAGCCAAAGCAGACGCTGTGCAACACTACGGGGACGCGTTCCCGCATCTTCTCGGCGAGCATGAACAACGCGTCCTTCCTTCTCCCCGACGCCGTCTCCATGCTCCAGGCGCACTACTACGGGGACGCCGCGTCGGCCGGCGTCTACACCCGCGACTTTCCCGACTGGCCGCCGGTCATCTTCGACTACACCGCGGACGCCAGCGACAACGACACGCTCAAGTACACGACCAAGTCCACCAAGGTGAGGACGCTGCGGTACAACGAGACGGTGGAGATGGTGCTGCAGAACACGCGGCTGATTGGCAAGGAGAGCCACCCCATGCACCTCCACGGCTTCAACTTCTTCGTGCTCGCCCAGGGCTTCGGCAACTACGACGAGGCCGCGGCGGCGCCGCGGTTCAACCTCGTCAACCCGCAGGAGCGCAACACCGTCGCCGTCCCCACCGGCGGCTGGGCCGTCATCCGCTTCGTCGCAAACAACCCTGGTAAAGAATCTGTACTGTACATTTTTAATAAATCATAATTATTTATTTGCATCGATTGAAATGTACTAATAACTGGAGTAATAAGGATCAAATAAATTGTATCTATTATTTTGCAGGGATGTGGTTCATGCACTGCCACTTCGACGCCCACCTTGATCTGGGGCTGGCAATGGTGTTCGAGGTTCAGGACGGGCCGACGGCGGAGACATCGGTGCCGCCGCCGCCATTGGACCTACCTCAGTGCTAAAATCGTTCGTTGTCAAACGTGATTCTTAGAATTGGGTGATGGATTTGTCAACAGAAAAAGTGTACAAGCTTTGTCTACTAGCTATGTTGTGATTCTTAACTATTGTTTGTCCGATCCGTTACAAGATTATTGTTCTACTGGCATAGGGAGCACACGCATTTTTATATGTAAAAAGTCGAGTCATGGATATGATTGTTTGAGTTTGGTGTATAAATAAATTGGATACGTACGTCAACACATGAAGCAGCCTGGATAGTAGTTATTATTCGGTCATGACATTTGACTAGCTAGTTGCTATACTTATCTGCTCGTATATATAGTTTTTTTTTCGAAAGCGTGCTTAGCACGTGCTTCAATAAGGGAAATTTAGAAAGGGGTGATACACACAGCCCGGGGAGGCACGACGCCGAGATGGCGTAGGGCGCCAACTGGTGGAACACATACAGAGGGCGCTTAGACAGGCGTACTAAGTTAATAACTAATCTTACGACTAAGTAGGAGAATCGTTGCCCTTTAGGTGACCACCGCAACCACTGGCGGAACCGGGGCTGCTGCCCGCACACCCCCCAGCACAGTGATTTGTTTAAAATATCTATTGAAAATTCACTTGCATAGCTAAAAAAATTATTATTTCACTCTATTTTGATGATAAATGTTGTGCTTTTTCGTTATGAGTACTAAATATATGTATACAAATGTTGAAAATCTATTGAGGCATACATTTGTTGTACATATTTATTATATTCACGAGGTGTATCGTAGCGCCCCCCCCCCCCCCCCCCCCCCACCCCCCCAACGCCAAGCTCCAAAATCCAGCAGCGATCCAGGAGTCGGCCTCCTCACATATTAGAGCAAGGACCTGAGCCGGCGTCTTGGCGCTGTTGTCGAATGTCCGCCTGTTGCGCTCCTTCTAGACGCCCCAGGAGACGAGCAGCACAGTGGAGTTGAAGCCATGCCTGAATATCCCTGGAACTTCTGCCCGTGTCTGCTGCCACCAATCGGCCAGGGTGGATTCATCGTTCGGTCCCAGGTGCTGCAACCCAGCTCTTGCCAGCATTCGTTGCCAAACCTCGCTTGTGAATACGCACGAAGCCAGCAAATGGTCGGTGGCCTCGTCATGCTGGTCGCACAGAACGCAGGTGGCGTCCTGCTGTAGACCATGGCGCTTCCGGCGCTCGGCTGTCCATAAGCGACCGAATTCTTCTTTTGGCTTGCACTGCTCGTATATATAGTCGCACAAACCATATCTACAAATCTCGCTATTTGTAAATATGTACAGTTAACCCAGTACGAAGCTTGCAAATGGTGAAATTTCGCTTGATGCGACAAGGCTGTGACATTAATTTGACTATTGTTAGTTGGCTCACAAGTTAACCCAGTACGAGTTTCTATCTTCTAGTCTAAGTGATCTCGTTTTCGCTTACGGGCTAGGCCCCAAGAAAATAGCAAATCCGTGGCCGGCCGGTTCGATTAACCATCATGAATGTATAGTGGTTGTAAGAGTGTATATAACTGGCCTGGGCAACGGCTGACGTAAGTTGAACCGCGCGTTAGGGTTGAAAACAGAGCTCACCGGCTCCACCTGGACAAATGAAAGTAGAGTCTTGGGCAGCAGGTTGATTGAGACACTTGGATGGCACGATGACGCGGATGCACCGAACGGAGGGAGTACGTGGTTGGGCGCTGAGCAGAAGTATCATTATTGCACTTTTCTTCACTGATCTGATACAAAATTATCCTACTCTTTTGCCAAAAGGCTCAAAACCTTTACCATGTCGGCCCTAATTCCATAACTCCGAGACGGCGTTTGGATTCTACCCACTCATCTTCTATATATTTCTCCATCTCTCCACTTCTTTATCAATGAAATTGGCACTCGTGTGCCTGTTCGTTCAAGAATATAAGATATATTTCTCTCTGCTGCCTTTTGGTGCACTTAATATCATTTACTTGAATTTCGGGTCTTTCACCCTCTAACTTCAATCTTGCCCAAAATTTTCCCGTTTCAGAATAGATGTAGTTATGTTTAAGATTACTATTGGTTGTCGAATGTTTTTCATCACTTTGACCATCACTATATAAAAAGTTATATAGATTGACAATGTAAGACAAATGTGGTTAAATTTAATATCAAAGGCACTTTCAAACGATTTATTTTTTATTTAAATGTCACATTTCATTGAAGTTGTTGGTCAAAGCTTCATCTCGTAGCACATTTTGACATTAACTCCAGGGAGTACCCAGAGGTAGATTTCTTTGAGCTTCACATGTGCACGCCATATATGGGCACATAGCTAATGATCTCTCCTTGGACATAGAGATGGGGAATTGGAATTGAAGGTAGAGCACTAGAGCTCGAACAGGAAGATGTGCACTAGTACTTCACGATTATTTGTGCATCCATGTGTGCTTCCTGCTTACATGTCCGTGTCACCTCTTTTTAAAAAAAAACTTTCTAAGACACCTTCGATTCATTTCCATAGGCGGTTACATAATCCGACCGCCGAGAACCACATATGAAAATGGTGATTTTTGCAAGTTATTTCTTATATGAACGGCCTGTAAACCGGGTGATAACGCGGATCGACCATGGGGCAATTCCATGTCAAGCTGTACACTACTAAATCGACTTTGTGAAACTGTGGTCCGTGGTTACGTGAATTGTAAAACTGGAGTTTGGGCAAAGGTTAAGCATGACAAACAAGAAGTAGCCAAAGTATCCAACCGTGTAACCGCAGATAAGTGAATTGGTCATTTCTTTTCTTAATAGCAGACCACTATTTTGGAGAACATTTTCACTCGATTAGGGAAAAGCTACCCTAGAACCCACTCATGGTTTTAGTATTCCCTAGCGGCGCTGGACAATCAAAAAAATAATTGGATCATTCTAGTAACTACAATAGGGTGTTTGGGACTGCTTCACTCCACAATTTTCAGCTCTGCTCCACCAAGTCCAAGCCAAACACCCCAACTCCAGATTTTGCAGCTCCAGAAAAAATCGAATATGGTGGCCAGCTCCATGTTTTTTGTGCAGCTCCTCAAGAGGTGCTCCAAGAATTGAAGTTTCTACAGTTCTCACAGAATTGGGGTGAAATTACCCCAAATGCCACTAATTACACAGTACCGATTCATTTTCTATTCTCATCTCTTCCACTGGCGCCCCCATCCATTCGCTCTCCTGGCGTCCTCAGTCCTCATGCGACCTAGCGCGGCCGCCCAGTCAACTCCCGGCCGCCAACCCTTCCCCGCCGGCGAGGGGACCGTCGGAATGGAGGGATCCAGGCCCCACCGCCGCCTGACCCAGTTTTTGGAGTCCCCAATGCCGGCTTCGCTCCATCCTGGGACCTCACCGCTGGCACCAAGGGTTGGGCTCCCAAGGCTCGGGCCGTCGCTGCCGGCCGCCAGCGGCCACGGGCTCACCGCGCCTGGCTTGCCTGGCCAGGCCGCGCTCGCCGACCAAGGCACGCAAGCGGCCGCAGTTGGCTTGGCCAACCCAGGCGATGTCGATAGCCCGAGGTGGCGCGCAAGCGGCCGTGGTTAGCTTGGCTGACCCAGGCAACGTTGGCGGCCCGAGGTGGCGCGTGTAAGGGCAATCTAGCTAAAACGGCGAGCAGTGCGCAACGAGGGCAGCCCCAGGCAGCAAGCGACGACGGTAGTGTGCAGTGCGGAGGTGAGGGGTGGGGATGGAAAAAAGCATATGACTGACATGTGGGTCCCACGACTCAATGGCAAAATGGACCATTATGATCTCCACCTCACGCTCTTGGAGCTGAAGCTAGACTGCATGCCAAACATGTGGAACTGCTTCATGGTGAAACAACAACTTTATTATGGAGCTGCTCCATGGTGAATATGGTGGAGTGGAGTTGGGTAAATCAGTCCCAAACAGTGCCAATAAATATAGCATGTTTGCTACTTCTCGTGGAGCTCTTTTAGGGTGGTAGACCGGTGGTACTTTCAGGTTTTTTTACCCCTCTGATTTTTTCTGACAGTCACTACTACATAATGGACTTGTTGTCCCGGGCGATAACGGCCTTTAGTCCCGGTTACCGCGTCGGGACAACAATTCCGGGACTAAAGGTGCCACCTTTAGTCCCGGGTCATCGAGCCGGGACTAAAGAGGGACCTTTAGTTCCGGTTGGTGTTACCAACCGGGACTAAAGGCCCTCCAGCCGAGCAAACGTGGCTGCACCCTTTAGTCCCGGTTGGTAACTCCAACCGGGACTAAAGGTTCCTTTTCTTTTTCTTTTTTTTTTGTTTAATTTGTTTTCAGTTCAGTTACACGTATTTGTTTAATATATAATATGTTTTTATGTACGTATTCTACGCTGCTAATATAAATACACGCACGCATATAATTACATCTAATTCTCATCTCGAGCATTATTATATTCGAATAAAGTATGAATCTATATATATTATAGATATATATATATGTATATATACAACACTTTCATAATCTTGTTCTCAAAAATAACGATATCAATAAACATTTAATTTACACCATTTATTCCTTAGAATCAAAGTAGAACTCGCCGTTGGGATTTAGCACTTTTTCTAGAAGAAATCCTGCTATTGACTCTTGAACTGCTTTCAGATGGTCTTTTTGCATGACCCTTTGTTTCAACCATTCAGTCTTGCATTTAAAATAAAAGGAAAAGTATTAATACATACATATATATATATATATATATTCATTTAAAAATAAATAAAAAATTGATATATACGTACTCTGAGGACATCTTTAGGAGTTCTTCTTATGTGCGCAGTGATAAATTCACAAACGTAGTATCCACACAAGTTATTACCTGGTTGCTGCCGCAAACACCACTGTACGAGAAGAAGATTATTCTCATCATCTCACACGTAAATTGAAATACGATATAGTAATTAAACACGTGGGGAAGTATATATAGTACAACTTACTGGTATTTCAACTACATTAAGTGGTGCCTTGCAATCCTTGCGGTGTTGCCGAATAAACTCTTTTCAAACCCTGT